TTTAACTTTAAACTTTTTATTTTATCTTTAATGAAATGATTTATTACCTCACAAATACACATGACATGTTTTAGACCATAAGTTTCAAAAGTCTTTTTCTAAACTCCGAAACTCCATGCTTTTAGTAACACTTTTATTGTTTGATTTTACGTATCCATCGTACAATAACTAATAAGTTTATTAAAATAACCTTAATTCTTATAAATATTGTATTTGTCAACAATCACGATAAAAATAATTTAAGAATGGCGGGTTCAGAGATTTTTATATGCATGTTTAAATAATCAGCCCATTATAAAAAAGAATTATGGGCTCGGAGTAGTAGGGCTAACACATTCAATTTTTGGTCTTAAGTTGGACATGACTAATTTTTTTTTAAAAAAAAATAACTTTACGTATTTGGAATGGGGACTCCACAGTAAGTATTGGATTGATTCACACTTTTTTATAATTTTTAAACGTCTTATTATAATTGAGATTTAAAAAAGGAATGACAATATAGTAACCAAAGATAAAATTATTTGATTCACCAAATAGTAATAGTCCCATATACATTGATATTGAAGGAGCAGTGGAAGAATTTACTATGTGCTCCCAGCCTCTTTCCATCATATTTGGTTTGACCTGTTCTAAAATTTAATCTTGATATCAGTTTGCACAAGGAGTAGCTCTACAACTTATGCCTAACATTCGTAAAGCTCATTATTAAAAAGGCTGAATATATAGAAAACTCTTTAAAAAGGCCATGCCGTATCGTTCACCAATCTTTGTACAATATTTTGTCCTATTAAACCTTCAACAATGTTTGAAACTAAATGTAATAGTAGTTAATTAAGCATTTATAGGAGTAGCTTCTTATCTGCTAACATTATAAATGATTACTCTCAGTACCATTTGAGTGTCTATTTTTTCTTTGGCTGTTTCAAGATAATGCCTAGTCTTAAAACTAAGTAATTTTTCAAACATATTATATACCAATCTATGTTTGAAACTAGTTGGGTCGAGTTATATAAATTGTTATGTCCTCAAAAGATTCATCATGATTAATCATAATGCAGCAAAAGTGACAATTTACAAGAACCCAGTCAGACTCTGTCAGCTTGGTAAACTACAGTTAGCTCTTTTAATGCCAAAGTCATAGATTTTTTAGATGTATATAAGGCTAATTCACCAATTCATCTTTCATATAATCTTGAAAGAAGCTAAGTTTTCAAATTAAGAAATGCTTGCATCAGTTATCTGACTGCTTAGCAGTAAGTCATTTTCAAAGTGCTGCATTTGAGAATTTAATCTACATGTTGAAGCAGAAAATAGGTTGCTATAGTGGTGAGCAACATCCACTTCCAATCAAGAGGTTGTGAGTTCGAGTCACCCCAAGAGCAAGGTGGGGAGAGTTCTTGGAGGGAGGGAGTTCAGGGTCTATTGGAAACAGCCTCTCTACCTCAGGGTAGGGGTAAAGTCTGCGTACACACTACCCTCCCCAAATCCTACAAGTGAGATTATACTGTTATTGTTGTGGTCGTCGTCCTCGTCGTCTCTTGTTGTGGTTCTACTACCTGACCAGATAGATCAAATTCAGAATGCATTTGTCGCGCAAATGAGTGTTCTATTTCTGAAATTAACTAGTATCAGTGAAATTAACTTGCTTTATCTTGGATCAACCCAAATTTATGAACCAAAACTATCTCTGATACTAGCTTTTCTTGATAACGATGTGAAAAAAAGGTTACTAGCTTTTCTTGATAAGTAGTTTCATTAGCATAGACTCAGAACCAAGCCAATCTCGATTAAGAAAAAGTTGTATAGTAAGGATGGATGCAGGTTGACTGTCTTCTTATCAAAAGTTACATTTAATATTTTATACGGAGAAGGGTCAAAAATGCCCCTGAACTACTGAAAAAGGTCTAAAACATACCCTTCATCCATCTATTGGGCTAAAAATACCCCAGCATCTACCTTTTTGGTTCACTTATGCCCTTCGACTGTTAGGTCGATGCTGAATTTTAAGAATAATTATTTAAATTTCACGTGGCAACTTCTTATTGGTCGAAATTAAAACATCTAACCTATTAAAAAGATTCACTCATATCTACTCGTTTTTCGTACTAACCCGCCCCAAACACTAACCTGACCCGAATAAAAAGTTCAAATAAAAAAAGACGCCCCACTTCAATCTGACCCATGGATTTACATGTGTTCATTTTCTTGATTAATCTCATATATAACATTATCATCGAATAAAGGTTTATGAACAAATTAAACAATCAAAAAAAGCCTAGCTTGAATGAACCAATGATTTTCTTGATAATAATGTGGGACAGAAAACTAGGGGTAGTCCAACGGTTTATGATATCTTCCAAACAATCACTTTGAGTGATTAAATTAAACTCATCTTGAATATAATGCAATTTGTATCTATCATGTAAATTGAACTGGATGCCATAACAAGAAAAAGAAAATCACGTAGTAAATTTGCGTCTATATGTTCGCTACCACTTCCATGGAGCTTGACTTTTTAGTTTAACTTTTTGTTCGGGTGGGGTTAGTGTTTGAAGCGGGTTAGTACGAAAAACTGATAGATATAAGTGTGTCTTTCTAATGAGTTAGATGTTTTAATTCTGGCCAATAAGAAGTTGTCACATGGAATTTAAATAGTTATTATTTTTAATTCGGCATTGACCTAACGGTCAAAGGGCATAAGTGAGCCAAAAAGCTGGATGGAGGGGTATTTTTAGCCCAATAGGTAGATGAAGGGTATTCTTAAACCTTTTTCAATAGTTTAGAGGCATTTTTAACCAATTTCCGTATTTTATATAGCTGCATACTATGTTGTTCGGACTCTCCAAAAGTGTTGCCGCACCCGTGTCGGATCCTTCAAAAATGCACTAAATTTGAAGGATCCGACACGCACCCAACAATATTTTCGAAGAGTCCGAGTAACATAGGCCGCATATACTTGGCACATTTTAAATATGCTGAAGCTTGAGCTGGATTGTTCGATTTCAACACCAGAAAATTCTGCCAACAGCATTGTCTACTATGTTACAGTTTGAGAGATTACAGCATTATGTATAGAAAGATGTAAATGTCCGTGTAAATTATTTTTTAAATACAACGCTAACATTCATTTGTGGGGTACCAGTTAGGCGAAGGAGCACAATTTGTTTTTTGTTTTTTTTAAATCTAAGACCCCCATTTTTTTGGTTTCTTATAATATTTTATTATTTTTATGGTTTCTGTTGATGGTACTGACATATTGTCTCTTTCGTCTTTGTCGTTTTTTTGAGCCGAGGGTTTATCAGAAACAATATCTCTACTCCATAAGGTAGGGGTAAGGTCTGCGTATACACTACCTCCCCAGACCTCTTACTTCTGGGATTTTACTGAATTATTGTTGTTGTAATCTAAGACCCCAATTGTGGTAGGTTAGGTCAGGGAGTCACAATATGCTTACTTCACTCTTGCATTTCAAATTACTTTCCAGATGATATTGTATGTTATTTAAGTGCACAGAAAATAGGACCCTCTAAGAGGAGGGTACAGGCACATTAAGGGTTAAGGGTACGGGGAGGGTAAGGGTAAGAGGAGGGTTTCTTAAGGGTACTATTCTTAACGGTATTTAAGTGTAAGGGCTAAGGGTATTTTTTTGGGTACGCTACCAGTACCCCTATCGGTCCTAAGGGTACCGGTACTTAAAGGTGCAGTACCGGTACTTTAGGGGTACTTAGGGGTATTTTAAATTAAAAATTCAAAACAATTATATTTAAATACAAACAAGCTTTATTAGATGGAAAAAAATTCTATACTTATAAAAATAAAATTACATAATTTGTTTCCATTTGCAGAGATTTTCAATAATTTCTATTGGTTCTTTGCTTGAAATTGATAGCACTTGTTCTTTTGCGTCCATGCTGTCTCCGGTAGATAGTACATGCATCGTTGTCTTCTTGAATTATTTCTAAGGCCAAAGTTTATTCTCTTCAAATATTTTAGCAAGTCTTCATCGCAAACATTATTTCTAACGGTTATTCTAGGAAACCCTGAAAAAGCAGTCTTCATCGCAAACATTATTTCTAACAGTTGTTCTAGGAAAACCTGGAAAACGGGATTATATGTTTCTTGTATGTAACTCCTAAACCCGAACTGGTTAGGATTTGTTTCAAAACGAGAACCCCCTCCCTAGCATTATCCTTAGTAGATTTATTACACATCTTTTTATCACTTTAGGAGTCATTTTTAATAATAAATGATTAAAATTACAACAAATAGCAACACAAGTATAACACAAATAAATGCGAAAATTAATATGAGTTGGAACGAATGTACCAAACGCCGACGACACGTTAATTGCAATTAGAGATAGAGAGAGATGGAGAATCAGAGAGATATAAGAGTTTTTGAATGAAAATTGAAAGAATGAAATGAGGTATTTATAGTTCTAAAATAGGGCTAAAGTGTATTTGAACAAACTTAGGGGTTAAAAACATAAATTAGGGGTTAGGGGAGACGCTGGGGGCTAGGGAGGCAAAAATAGCCGTTTTTGGCCGTTGCCAACGACTATTTTAACAATACAAAAATGGCTAGATTTTTTATTTTTTAAATACCATTGGGTACCGGTGCGGGTGCGGTACCGGTACGGTACCTTAAGGGTACTTCCGGTACCGGTACTAAGGGTACAAAACCGGATACCCTACCATTACCCTTACCCTCCACCACAAATCCCCCACCCCTACTCAACCACTGGAGCGGTATGGTTCAGTACCGGTACCGGTAATACCGTACCATTAGACAGCCCTAACAGAATATAGAGTAACTACTATATACGGATAGTTTAAAAGAATTCTCACAACCGTCGGCAAGGAGGAAGTTTGCCAATGGAAGCAATCAAAGAGAACGTCAAGATTATCTTATGCAGAATTGCGCTGTATCCGACTGAGAAATAAATCGTATAAACCAGCATAATTCAACGTGTTTACATAGCAGTAAAACATGTCGGAAGATATTCAAGAAAGTAAAAGAAAAATTATCAGAAACAAAAAGAAAAAAAAAAGAATCAACTAGTTATCCCATGTTATCTTCTGTGGGAGTGTAATATATGGTACACTGGGAAACCACTAATTTTACAGAGTCAAAAATTAACCACTATTCGGTCAAGTCAAAACTATTCCAGACATTCATTTACATTACATTCTGCAAAATGGGAAAAGAGGAAAAAATTGCAAGTGCTTGCTTTTGCTCATCTGTGCCATTTCCTGCACATGTTTCGTATTATAGGCTCGGCTCAACAGAGAAGTAACCTCTGCTACTGGGTTTTTGGTTTCTGGATCTTCACGTATGGAAAGAATCCGAACAAGTGCTTGATTTTGGGATTCCATTCACGTTGCTGAGCACGACAATACATCAAGAATGCATTTGCAAAGTACGAGTTGAAACCCATTAACACGTGCCACACTGCATGACCCTGTGGATTAAAGTACCAGCCCTGAATTTGCTTGCAGAATAATCGATCACATAGCCAGCAAGCAGCTCCGATCAATAACGTAGCCACATATAACTTTGCGAGCCGCTTTGCCAACGAGTCCTCTGTATGAATGTAATACTTGTATGCCCGAGGAGCGCAAAGAAGGCACAGTAGCGCATAATGTACTTTGAAACCAATGCCAAAGCGAATCTGTGAATGCACAATGGCAAAGAGTGCACCATAAAGGAACAAAAAGGTTGGCATTGTACTCCGATAATGCCAATCTGGTGAATAGAGGATGTAAATATACAGCAGCATCTCCCAGACCATTGGTGTCTCATCACCTTGCTGTTGCCTGTCAATTTAATACATGGATAATGGTATACGGACACATACAAGCACATAAAAGCAGGCAGTATTACAATTATATTTTTCATCACTGTTGTCTCCTATCTGCATGCACATTGTACATGGAAAGAAAGCATAGGGAATTAATTCCTTATTTGGAAGTCAGAAAGGACAGTCTCCAAAAAAAACTTCAGAAACAAGCACAAAACAAGCAAGAGGCGTGGAGAATCTTAATAGCACCATGGTGAGGGTTTGATTCCGACCTTGTAATCCAAAAATTCCCTCCATCTCCCCTTTAAAAACAAAAAAGCAAGAGGCACACTGAAGATGGTACTGGGTATATGATTCATAGTAGGCTTTATTGTGTCATGCAACAAGATGACAAAAGTATTCCACCGGGAGCACGACATGTAAACGATAAGAGCCACTTTCACAGCACCAATACTGCCAGTACCTTTACAAGTGAAACCTAAAGTGAAACCTCCCAACTAATAAGTTCATTGAAATCAAAGGGAAGAGCTACATTCTAAAACAAAATCTTAGTTGGCCACATTTAGAGATCCAGGTTAAATGCAGTTTTAGATCCTCTTATGGAAAGTATAAATCTGAATGCCTGTATATCCTAGGTTTATTAACACCAGTGTCTCAAAAGATTTTGTTAAGACACAAAAACCAACTCCAAGATCTCCTGCACGGCTTCACAACAGATAACAGTTCACACAGAGGAGAAAGAAAAGAAAAAAGAACTAGGGGCATGGACTGACCACCAGCAAAACACGTGTTAATTCCGGCCTCTGCCTATAAGGGGGCAACTTAAAGAACTGCTTTCACATTTCACTCCTACCAAAGATTTAACCTATCTCATCAACTACTTCATTACGACACTGTTCTTGAAATGTTATCTGTCAATCAAAGCTAAAGAGGTGCTTCAACAGGAACTACATAAAATGCCTTAAATAGAACAACTGATACTAAATCATTAACATAGTCTTCCCTTTAAATCGAACAAATTTTTTGAAATGATTAAATAGAAAAATCACTAAGTCCATCACCATTTTTGTCATGGATATTACTACTTAATGCACTAGAAACTTCTTGACAGGATCAAACCACGCATCTCTGTGCTCCTCTTTCCCACACACTTTTAGAAAAGCTGAATTATTTTGGCACTACTACATTTTCAAGAATCAGTAAGCCAGGAGATTTAAAAATTTGAGTTGTGTGTGTATACAATAGATAGAATCATCCTACCAATACAGTAACAAAATATGCAATTTGTGTTCATCTGCAAGATCAATGCCAATTAATTTTTCAAAAGTAAGCTTGTCGCGAAAAAGATTATATGATATTGTGACTACAACACAGTTAATTGTTAGAAGAAAATATTTAAGACACCAACATAAGGAAAATAACAGAAATCCAAATCTTCTATGCATGCGTTCTCTAACAGGTTCAGTCTACAAAAAGTATAACATAAATCCTACAAGGACGGGGTAGCCTCAATACAGCAGTTTATTACTTTATTTGCTGTTAGGCCACAGGTTCTCATTTTCTTAAGGCAGTGAAAAGTTGCAATCACATTAGCACGCATCCTATAATATCTTCAGTTTAGTGTCTTCCTGTTCATATATAGGAGATTTATACAATATCTCGAAAAACATGGCTAAGATTAGATGGTGCATCCTTTTGAATCAACTTCCTTATACTTTAGCAAACACAGGATGATCAAAGATTACATACATACATACATATCTATCATACACCAAGCAAGCTTTACAGAGAATATAACAGAGCCGAATGAAGAGAGTGCTTACATCTGCCGCAATGTGGCATGATATGTCATGCTCCCTATGGCAAGTATTATGTTTGATATATGGAGGACACTGAACCTTTTCTCAAACCGTTGTCTGAGGGCGTTCACAAGACCAATGAGAGCCAAGATAATGCATGGGATATTTGAAATAGTGTTAAAGAATTCTGCAATATAAGATGACTGCACATAATTTGGCTCACACCACTCTTTAGATGTTACAGGACCCCAAAAGAATATACCATCTGCCATCCTGCAAAATGTCTAACTTGAAAAAGTCAGCTTGTAGGCACTTACAATATTCGATGCAAGTAAAATACTCAAGATTTGTAGCATGTCTCAATAGTATTAAAGAAATTTAAATTTTCAATATATATCCTAAGAAGCATTATAATCAGCATCAGTGTTTTAAAAGGCGTGGGCGTAAGGCGGGGCGTTTTACATATGCCTCATCGGGGCGTAAGCCCCATAGTTATTTAATTTTTAATATTTTATAAAATAATATAATGACAGTTAATATTTATAAACAGGTAAAATTGCATAAAAATTGAAGAAAACTATATATATGTGTGCTCCATCCCCACAAAAAACTAATCAAAACAATCTATTATACGTTACTTACAAGCACAAGTAATTTGAGTCTAAAAGAATAAAGTTTTCTATATGGAGGAACAAAAAGGATGATTAACCTGCAATTTGAACTTTGAATTTGCTGCTATGAAGAAAAATGTAGTTCTCTTTGTATTTGTAAAAAAAATTAAATATTCATTGCTTTTGGGAGATATTAGCAGATTAGCGGACAAGATAAAAAATTGGAAAAACCATGAATTAGCGCTTAGATCAATAAAAAAGGTCTTTACTTTTAAATTTAATACTTTTGAGTTCTTTTTTAAACCTTTTGAGTAATTACCAAACTGACTTTTGAGAATTTGGGTATTATATGAAGGACTAATTCAACAAATTTTGTTTTAATTTGAAAAAGTCTTTGGGAATTACTCCTTACTAAAAAAACGCGCCCCGAATGCCCGGGCGTACGCCTCTTGAAGACTTTCGCCCCACACCATCGCCCCGGGGCGTTTTTGGTACGCCTCGCCCCGGGGCTCGCCCCAGAAACGCCTTTTAAAACAGAGATCAGCATTACCTCATGTGAATGAACAAAAGAATTGCAACACTAAGGGATTGACTATAACCTTACAATTACTACGACACAAATAATATTCTTGGATGAACCACGAAGAATCGATACAACATGAAATTAAAAAAGAAGAAGGGACGGGGACCCAAGAACATTTAAGACAGTGATGAGTCATGGTATCCACATGATACTGCAACACAGGATCTCAGCACGGAGAATACTTGTGCTCATGACAGTAGACGACTATTCATTATTGTTAAACTTTGGAAAGTGTCTAATGCAAATCCTCAAAATTTGGCCCCAGGTCTAAAGGTCATGAATGCATTAATGAAGACTTGATTCACAGTAACTTCATCCTCATGTCTGGCTCTTTTATACTCTCTCTATCTCATATTACCTTAACATGATTTTGGCAATCAAAATTGTGAGACCAAATATCACTCAGAATATTGTCTAAATTGGCCATCAAAGTCAACTTAGATCCTAAGTGGGAAATGGAGTATATATGAAGTTATGCACACTCTGTCTCTTCTTATCAATCGATCAAATCAACAAAATTTCTTTTTCTCCAATGCACATTTCTTAAGTCCACGTATATCTCACTCAAAACTGAAAAAAATTTGCTCCCGAGAAGATCGGATGAGATTTCTCCTATCAGCAAGATCACACATATTTTTTGCTGAATTGGGAAGATCAAATATATTGCTAAACTAGTATACCTACAATGAGGTTGACATTCGCTTATAGTTTAATTGGTTGAATGTGCTATAGACTCCTAAAACCTACTTTAATTAGTTATGATAGGGAAAAAAAAAAAAGGAGTCTTCATACATTAATCCTTCTACATACAAATCTAAGAATAAAGCCTTGCCACATATCATTGTCAATCAAGCTACTCGATTTACAATGCCACATTTAATCTCTCACTCGAAGCAACCAGCCAATCACTAACTCAACAAGTTGTTTCAAGAAAACATACTCCTCTTTCATGAATTAATACGTGAAACCCGAAAGTACCACTAACTCACGTGAATCAACTACTTTAGTCAAATCATTAACCTCCATTGGTATACACCATCATCAACATTACCATGGGCCCTATAATACCAAAAGGTCCTCTCTAAAAATATTTCAGCTATGATCTCCAACCTTTTTCTTTTTTCTTTTTTTATGTTGCATTTCGACTACGGGGTGAATAGCCTAACTTGCTCACACCTCGACAATCCACTAGGCAACCTGCTATAACACACAAGCACAAGTGCAGATAACAGCTATAAATCTCCAACATACAACCCCCAATATAACCATTGCATTAAACTTCATTTCTCCAAAAACCATTTCCACTAACCCCGCAAATAAAAGATTAATCTAAATTGATGGAAAAAAAACACAACAATTAACAATACTCACCTCCAAAGATCCAATTTTTACACCATATAACCACCACATCTTACACTGCTTAATCAAATAAAGCCCCAAANAATTCAGAAAATAAGACAAACCTTTCAAAATCAGATCCAAATTCCACACCCAAAAATATCCTATTAATCTTCCACAGATTTGCTTCCTCTAATAAATATATGTGTGTGCATATAAACACACACAGGGATCTCTCTCTCTTTCTCTTCTCTCTTGCTTTTTTCTTCTTTGCTAGGGTTAATAAGGAAAAAGAAAAAGCAAACAAAAAATAGAATAAGAAATGATTTTGCAGTTTTCTTTTTTGATCTTTTTAACTTTAAAAAGAAAATGGAGGATTTTTTTTCTTTTCCGGAAAAAGGAGGATTCGTTATTTATTCTAAGGCAAATTTTGGAATTTGCAGGGGAATCTTTTTATTTTGATTCACATTTTGTGAAGTTTTAGCCGTTGGATTGAAATAATAGACGGTTTGGATTATATTAGAGGAGTTTCGGCTGGTTGTACACGTGTAATATATCGCCAGGTGGCAACTTTTCTAACTTATGTCAAATTTTAGTTTTCTGGTAGAATTATGTCAAATATTAATGAAACTCCTCTTTAAATTCTTTCTCTTTTATTTTGAGTTTCGATTTGTATTTAGTTTCTGTTTCTTAGCTTTCAATCACTTACCCTTTCTTTTTTATTGGCTAATTAGTTTGCGCACTTTTCGATTATTTTATTGAATATTAATTACTATCTTTTATTCGAGCGTTTCCATGTGAACTCCAAATTTGCTATTTTTTTTATTAGAATGGTGTTCGGTCTCGTATACTTGAAATATTTTTTTTATAACGGTAGTGTACGGGCTGCCTCGTGCATCTTGACTATTCTATCGGATACTTATTATTTCACCAGTCTATTAATTTTATCCACCAAAATTTAGGTAGATGAAAAGAAAATCACCTAATATCTTTGCCTCGGCTGAAATTTAAACTTGAGATCTTATAATTCTCCTCGTACTTCATTTAATTATTGTGTCACATCCTTAGGTTATTGATTCTCATACAGGTCATAAACTAATTTTGGACTAATTTTTTTGTTTTCTCCCCCGATGTCGTAATCTATTTTGAAATCTCAATTAATTTGAATTTCTACCGGCTATCGCGTAAGTCTCGATAAAAGAGAAAGCGCAATTCTATGTTATGATTCAAACTTGAGACATTTGATCAAGAATAAATGGCTCACCACTCATTTTGAACCTGTTCAATCCATAAATGAATACACAGCTAAATACATCCATTTGTCAACAAAAAGTGTACTGAAATCGTTCTATCAAATTTTGTTGTAATGGTATTAACAGCACCTTAAATACAAACATTTGACCAAATTTCGTTACTACAAATATAAAAAGTAGGGGCGTTTACATCGTTTTTAATTTAAGACCTTAAATTAAAAACATTCTAATCCATGTTTAATTTTAGATTTTTTCTGTAACGACCCGACTTATCGTTTCAAAAATTTAAGTCTCGTTCGGCGGCATAAGGCCCGGAGCAGCTCGTATTACGCGTATTGATTTGCGTGTGTAGTTGAATTCAATTACTGGATGATTCAAAGTGATCTGGGACACTTGGTCCTTAAAAAGGAAGTTTAAATCTTAGGATTTTGATCGTAGTCGGAACCGTGTGAAGACGACTCCGGAATAGAGTTTCGTCGGTTCCGTTAGCTCCGTATGATGATTTTGGACTTAGGAGCGTGTTCGGAAAATTATTTGGAGGTCCGTAGTAGAATTAAGCTTGAAATTGCGAAATTCAAATTTTTGAAAAGTTTGACCGGGGGTTGACTTTTTGATATTGGGGTCGGAATCCGATTCCAGAAGTGGGAGTAGGTCCGTAATATCGAATGTGACTTGTGTGCAAAATTTGAGATCAATCGGACGTGATTTGACAGGTTTCGGCATCAATGGTAGAAGTTGAAATTTTAAAGTTCATTAAGTTTGAATTAGGGTGAGATTCATGATTTCGATGCTGTTTAATGTGATTTGAGGCTTCGAGCAGGTCCGTGTTATATTATGGGACATGTTGGTATGATTGGACGGGGTTCCGAGTGGTTCGGGTGTGTTTCGGGGTATTTTCGGACCAAATTGGAGTTGTTTGGACTGTTGTTGCTAAAGTCTAGTTTCCTTCTTCGCGAACGAGAAGAGGAATTTGAGGGGCTGATGGTTTGGACTTCGAACGCAAAGCTGTGGACGCGAACGCGAAGAAGGAGCAGGGCAAGCCTTCGCGAACGCGGCCAAGGCAACGCGAATGCGAAGAAGAAAGGAAGAGTTGGGGCTGAGGTCGTGTGACCTTCACGAACACAAAGTGCGGAACGCGAACGTGAAAGAGCTAGTCAGTTGGTCATCGCGAACGCGATGAGGAGATCGCGAACGCGAAGCAACGGTCGCGAACGTAAAGAAGGTGTATTTGGGCAAAATTAAAAGTCCCAAAAATGGGGATTTGAGTTCATAACACAAAAATTAAATTGGGAGCTCGGTATAAGGCGGTTTTTGGAGAAATTCTTGCGTGAGTGTTTGGGGTAAGTGATTCTTATCCAGTTTTGATTAATTTTCATGATTATATCTTTGAATCCATCATTTAATTCGGATTTAAATGGAGGAAAATCAAGATTTTTGTAAAATCCTACAAAAATAAAAATTTAAGATTTGGAGGTCGAGTAGTTATTGGAATTCGATAAAATTGATATGGTTGAACTCGTATCGGAATGGGTGTTCGGATTTCATGAAAATTATGTCGGGTTCCGAGGGGTGGGTCTCAGGTTGACTTTTGTTGATTTTTTTGGAATAAATTTTTAAGTTGACGTATTATTATCCAGAATTGTTTTCGATGAATTTTAATAAAGTAATAGAATTAATTTGGATAGATTTGAGCGGTCCGGAGGTCAATTCAAGCAAGAAGGCGATTTTGGAATATCGGCATAACTTCAAAGAGGTAAGTGTCTTGCTTAACCTCGAGTGGAGAAATTACCCCTTAGTCATCGAGTCTTATGTGCCATTTGTGAAATGTGATAAGCCGCGTACGCGAGGTGATGAGTCCGTACTCGGCTTATATGTGTAAATTTTTATTGAGTTAAAGTCTTGAGCATATTGTATGGTAAATTGGGTAATTATTGGTATATATTTAGTCATATATTTGTCGTGCCTAAATCCTTGTTGTTGTTGAATCTGTTGTTATATGACAATTTGATGTGATTGTTACTTGATTATTTATGTAATTCCGTGAATTTGTTGGTTTGATAATTATTGAAATTGAATTTCATTATGAATTTTTTCCTCTGCAAATAATTAATTAAATGAGCTTAAGAAGAGGTGTTTATATAATTATTAAAAATTTGAATTTAATGAAGACTTTGCTTTATGTTGAGTAATTTCTATCTCTATTGGTTGTTTTTGGGTGTTGTACCTATTGTGTGGAGCTTTTGGCTATTTGTTGTGAAATTAATTGATTTTGTTATATCCTTAGAATTTGTTATGGCCATTGAGCAATCTGTAATGTGAATTGATTTTGTTATGTTGCCGTGATAATTGTTGTGTTGTGTGAATTATTATTTTGAGGAGATAAGGGTGGCATTTCACCGTTGCTATTACGTGGGTATAAGGGTGACATTTAACTGTTGTTGTGTTGTTGGAATATTGTCTGGGCGGAGCAATAAGGGTGGCAATAAGAGTGATAAGGGTGGCAATATAAGCGATAAGGATGGTTATTGATATTGTCTGGGCGGAGCGATAAGGGTGGCTATAAGAGCGATAAGTGTGGCTATTTTCAGGGACGATATGTGATGATGTGAGGTTGTGGTGTTGATGATTTTCATGTGATGTTGTGATTTTCTTGTATTTATTTTTATACATTGTGCAATTTGTCTTGTTGTTGGTAAATTTATAACAATCTGATTTATGTTGAAATTGAGAGTCTGTGGCTATGGCCAGGCGGATTATAAAATGAAATGTGGGCACGGGGTGCCGTGAGTAAATAATGAGGATATTTTTGACACGTGAATTATCCATGCAGTTGAGATATAAAATGTGGGCATGAGGTGCTGTGATGAAATGATAATGATATTTGACACGTGAGTTGTCCGTGCAGTTGTGATATGAAATGAGGGCACGAGGTGTTAGAAAAATATGATGATTTAATTATGGGCACGAGATGCCGTGGAAACATGAAAAATGGGCTGAGACCCGTGTTTACAAAAAATATAAAAATGGGCCGAGACCCGTATTTTTATGATTTTGAAATGAGGTGTCACATGCTAACTTTTAATTGAAAGAATTATATTCAAAATATTTATTTGGAAGATTTTTTATTCAAAAAGAATTATATGAAAGAATTGTATTTGAAAGATATTTATTTGAGAAAATTATATTTGAAGATATTTAATTGAAAGAATTTTATATTCGAAAGATATTTATTTGAGAAAATTATATTTGAAAAAGAGTTTTATTCGTAAGAATTATGTGTGAAAGATATTTAATTGAAGAACTTGATTTAACTGGGTGTAAATGTATTTATCAATTGTTGAGCGATATTAATGGTTATTTTATTGTCTTACTGTGCACATCACTAGTTGTTTTATGTTACTCTTATTGTTATTTGTTTCCTATTATTTTGTATATTATATTGCACATGTTATTAGACTAGTGAGTGTCTTGACTGTACCTCATCTCTACTCCACTGAGGTTAGTCTTGATACTTACTGGGTACCGACCATGGTGTACTCATACTACACTTCTGCACATTTTGTGCAGAGCGAGGTATTGGAGATATCAGACTTGAGCAGAGTTAAAGCGAGATCGTAAGGATTCAAGGTAGAGCTGCTTAGTCGTCGCAGTCCTTTGGAGTCTTTTTATTTTATTGTACTATTAATTTATAATAAAACAGTATTGTATATTCGGTACTCGTGATCATTCCATGTATTCAGTTAGAGTTCGTGACTCAATACTACCAGTCTTGGGAGGTTGTATATTGTAATTATTTTCGCTGTTATTTTCAAAAAAAAAAAGCTTCAAAATGTAATTGAAATCAGCTTAACTAGTCTTAGAGACTAGGTGTCATCACGATATCTGTGGTGAGATTTGGATCGTGACATTATTTTTTTCGAAAATGCTCTCTTTACCTTTTTGTTTATATATATAGAGACAAAAAAAAAGACATTATACTGTTTTCTTGTTCTCAAAATGCTAGTCTTTCTCTCTCTAGTGAATTCGATTGACTTTGCAAAAACATTAGAGGGATATTGTTGAATTTTGAAATTTATTGAA